TTTAATTTTTATTTATTTTTTTAAAAGTAGGCTCCATGCCCAGTGTGGAGCCCAATGCAGGGCTGGAACTCAAGACCCTGAGATCAAGACCTGAGCCAAAACCAAGAGGTAGACACTTAACTGACTGAGCCACCCGGGCACCCCTCTCTCCAATTTTTATGTGAAAAATTTCCATATTTACAAAAAGTTGTAATATTAGTACAATGAAATCCAACATATTATTCATCTAGATGCACTAATTGTTAAGATCTGAGGGGTTTTCTTTTCATGAGACTTTTTCCTTAAGGAAAACCCACCCTAGCAAGAAATGACAAAACTTGCAGTCTTTCACATTCCCTCAGGACTCATGGCCTTGGTGAATGACAGGTAAGTGACAGACAGGTGGTTTCCGAGGACTGGCAGTCAGTAGCATGATGCTAAATTGGAGTAATAGACTCTGGAACATCATTCTGAACTAAGGTCTGGATTACTTTTAAAAACAAAAGAAAAACAAAAAACACAGATCTAGGGGCACCTGGGTGGTTCAGTCGGTTAAGCATCTGATTCTTGATTTCAACTCAGGTCATGATCTCAGGGTCTTGAGTTGAGCCCCAAGTCAGGCTGCATGCTCAGCGGGGAGTCTGCTTGAGATTCTCTCTCGCCCTCTCCCTCTGCCCCTCCCTCCACCCCCCCAAAATAAATAAATAAATCCTTTTTAAAAACCCATAGATCTAGCAAGGTGCAATTTACATATCATAAAATTCACCTGTTTTAAGTGTACGATTCATTGTTTTTTAGTAAATTTACGGTCATACAACCATCATCATAGTCCAGATTATTTTTTTACAGTCTCTCAGAAACTGCTGTTCTATTGCAACTGTAATAAAATTGCCAGTTCCAACTTTGCCTCTTAACCATGCAACCAGCTTTTGTGTGTCCATCTTATCATAGGTTTCATAACACCTTAGATTCAGCTATCATTGGGAATAATAGCTTCTTCTCAAGTACACTCAATATGCCATATTCTGCCCTTCATAACTGCAGCTACAGTTGAAACAGCCTCTACAGGGATTTGGAGGCTTAAAGAAGTATCCCAAACGACTGGAAATCAGAGATCATTTCAATAGATTTAGCAATATCTACAGGGTTGTTTATATCATTACTGGCAATACTGCCCTTAGACCCTGGTGAGAGAAGCCCTGCTCTGAGCTATGCGTTCTGACTGGAGCTACATCACAGGTAAAGAGGTCATGGAGCCAAGCTGCTCTTGCAGCTGAGGACTGGGGCTGGCTCTCTCCACACTGCCATCTCCAGAAACAGAATTCTGGGAAGTCTGAGAATTCTAAATTGCAACCTGACCTCCTTCATGATGGTGTATTTTTCAAGATAGGAGGATAAAAACATTTTACCTAACAGTTTGCTAGACTGATTTAAAATTTTTCAATATTTCCAAATATGGTATGTGGAAATCTGTATGACTTCATTTACATGAAATGTTCAGAAGAGGAAAATCCATTGAGACAGAAAATAGATTAGCAGTTGCCGGAGGCTAAAGGGAGGAGGGGAATGATGAATGACTGCTGATGGATGCTGGGTTTCTTTTTGGGATGATGAATGTGTTCCTGAATTCCATAGTGGTGATGGATACACAACCCTGTGAATACAGGTTCCCCTACTATCTGAAAGTAGAGTGTTCCTATGAAACCTTTCCTAAGCTAAAATGTCCTAAAGCAAAGAAGCAATTACTATTGGGGTGCCTGGGTGGTTCAGTCTGTTGAGTGACCGACTCTTGATTTTGGCTTAGGTCGTGATCTCAGGGTCATGGGATCGAGCCCTGCATCAAGCTCCGAGCTCAGCATGGAATCTGCTTGAGTTTCCCTCCCTCTGCCCCGCCCCCTGCCGCTTGTCCACTCTCTCTCTCCCCCCCGCCGCCTAAAATAAATAAGTAAATCTTAAAAAAAAAAAAAAAAGAAATTACTATTAATTTGTATGGGAAAATTGAGTTCTCCCAGATCCGAATATCACCTCTCTTGGGCTTTTCTGATACCTTAGGACACATCTTGCTAACAGATGCACAGAATAAATCTAGATAAAGCACAGAGGCTCACAGACACAATTCAAAAGCTCAGGTGGCTTGTTGCTGGGATGCTGAGTGTAGTTCCCAGTAAAGGAGCTCGGCAGCACCACTCTCGCTGCTCAGGTGCGAGTTGCCTCTCTTGATGCAAAACAAATGCTGCATGCTATTTTCCCTTTTCTTTGTAAAAGTGAAAACACTCTTCAGATTCCTTTTAGTTAGCAAAAGCAACGGCTAATGCAGGTTTTCCATAAAAGCGAAGTGGCTAAACTTGAACTTTCAAAAAACAGGGGATACTTGTACTAAAAGTCAGTGAATTATATGCTTTAAAAGGATGAGTTAAAAAAAAGAGGAGATTAGTATTTGAGTGATATTGGAATAAAGCAATTACAAAAATATGTAGACTTCTGTAAAGAAGAACTAAAAAATAATTCTGCTTTAAATTCAACCAAAAGTAGAGATATTTCTAATATTTGGAGCCAAAAGAAATATAAGTATAGTGCTAGTGAATTTGTGTGTTTCTTAAGCCTATGCATGTTCCTATCTCTGAATATAAGGACATTTGCACCTATACAAAAGTGTATATATCAGTGAATTAAGGTATGTAGTCATTTACTTATTCTCCAAGTGATGGATGGTTGGAGGCAAGGGCTGGAGCATGAGGAGGATGCAAAAAAAAAAGAAAAAAAATATCTAGGAAACCATATGTAGCCTTTATGAGCTTATGGTATACACGAGTCTATATAGGGCTAGTTGTATAGAGTGGTATGTAATGTAATTCAACTATGCCACAACTACCTATACACTTGGGAGAATACTCCAGATGTTAGTTCCTTAGTCTGCTAATTCTCAGGGTGAAACTCGGGATGCAAGCGCCGAGAGACCCCACAGTTTAGACATATTGCTCCCAGCTGCCTCTGACCAGAGTCACGTAGTCCTTACTTACTGTTAAAGAAACCTGTAAAAATGCCTCGGGAAATAATATCAAGTTGCCTCCCAGAAAGTCTGTGGGATGCTGTTCTGCCTGAGATAACAAACATAATGTGCCATGTATGAAAGGAAAAAAAAAGTAATTTGCAGCTTAGCGATAGTTACAGGATGTAGAACTTTTGCCTTTGTACTCTAGAGATGACATCACCAGTGCAATCTGCTCAGAATGTTTTGCAGTTACAAGCCCCTAAAGCAGAACGACCAGGCCCCTGAAGCAGAACGACCACCTCGCTACAACCACACCAAAACCAGATTGGGAGACGCCAGAAGGGTTAAGATGATCAAGAAAGGCAATATTATAGCTGACCTAATCCGTTATCAATCAGCATGACCCAAGGCCCTGAGACCCTTACCCTGAATTCTCACCCTTTAAAAACCCCTGCTTGTAAGTCACTGGAGTTTGGGACTTTTGAGCATCAATTCCCTCCTTCTCCTGGGTGGCGCCACATCAATAAATAGCCTTTCTTCACCGCAAAACCTCCCTCTCTCAGTTGTTACTGGCTTGCTGCTCATGGGGTGAACGAACCCTCGTTGGGTTCGGTTACAAAGGTTGGACTGCACGTTAACTTTAAGATTCCTTCCAGCTCTAACCTTCCACAACGCGGTGATTTCATCCTCCTCCTGCAGCCGTATTAACTCGGTTCAGGAGTGAAGTAGATAATTAAGTCGTCCAATCAACATATATTTATTACAGTTCCTTATTATGTTTATCTATGTAGTTAAGAAATTGTATTTTGGTGAACTCCCGCCTATAAACGCCAACTACTCGGTTCAGCAACTCTTTCTAAGCTTCCGTGAGACTGGAGGCCCAAGATCACGTGCCAGTCATCGCCAGGGGTTGCTATGGAGCCCAACACGGTCCAAATCGGAAGTGGTCCTTCAAAAGGACTTTCCCGGGAAACTCGTATATGTGTGTGTGTGTGTATTTTTTTTTTTAAGATTTTATTTATTTGACAGATATACAGTGAATGAGGGAACACAAACAGGGGGAGTGGGAGAGGGAGAAGCAGACTCCCGGTTGAGCTGAGAGCCCGATGCGGGGCTGGATCCCAGGGCCCTGGGACCATGACCTGAGCCGAAGGCCGACGCTTAAGGACTGAGCCACCCAGGGCCCCGGGAAACTCGTATTTGAAAAAGAGTGCCCTTGGAATTCGTTTTTTCTTAAAGTAAACCCATAAGCAGAGATACAAACTTTCACTCCCAGAACAGAGAACGATGCCTCTCCTCCTAAGGGAAGAACTTCCACTCCTTCAGCGGCGGAAGCGGCCGGAACCAAAGAGCCGTGGGCGCCGGTTCTCCTGAGAGCGCTTCTCCGTGACGAACCAGACTCCACCCCCGCAGTGTTGCCGTGGAGACGGAGAGAGCTGTGTGGATGCGGAGAGGCGCTTGAGGCCGGGGCTTTGCTGTCTGTCCCGGGAAGGGGCTCACTGAACCAACGCCAAGATGGTTAGTGGCTCGGAACAGTGATGGAGAACTTTGAGTAGAACCTAGGACTGGAGATCAGAGGTTCTCAGCACACTTCTGGTTGAAGTCTAGGAGTGTCAGCGGAGGATGATCTCCCGGCCTTACCCTTGTTCTCACGGGAGACAGGGATGCAACTGTAAACACCTCAAAGCTTTCTTCCCCCCGCTTCTCCATTTCTCCGCACCTAAGCTGCGCGTAGGATGGAAAGCAGACCAAGGAAAGGCTGAGATGACAGACGCTGCGCGAAAGCATCTCTTAGCCCCCTCGAATGAATTGATACAGAAGATTAGGTGTAGTAGCCGTTGGGTTCAGCTCAAGTGCAGGGTGATGGCCCTTTGAGTAAAATACGTGTTACAGAGAGTTTGAACGGGCTTCCCTGGGATTCGTTGGTAAGGATTTGACATGCAAATCCTAGAGCTGTCACTCCGAGTTTAAAACTGACCATCGGAGTTGAATCATAAAGCTATCTTTGTCTTTGTTGCTTCTTTCACAGATGCTTTCAAGGGCCAAACCTGCTGTAGGCGGGGACCTACCGCACACTGACAAAAGAAAGAAGAAAGGTAGGAAGATTCCGAAACTAGAGGAGCTACTTTCACAAAGAGATTTCACTGGAGCTATTACCCTATTGGAGGTAATGTGCAAAGAAGGTTGCTTCTTAGGAGGTGGATACCAGAATATGGATGAATGCTAGGGTGAATGTTGGTTCTATGCTCTTGGAACAGGTGGGTGCTTTTGGGGGGCTTTTTGTAAATCTAGTCAGGCACAGATTGCAGATTCCGTGTCAACAATAGACCTGATTAAAGATGAACTGAGAAGATAGATTTACTTCTTGAGGGATACTTTTAATTATCTCTAGTCCCACTGATGGGGAATTCAGCTATATAATGGAGGGACATTTAGTATTGTATCAGTTCACACAGTGTTTATCCTGATTGCTGACCAATATATGCTCTATTCCTATTACATGTTACAAAATTTGGATCATTTAACTAATACCGCCATGCTTCATGTTTATTGTCTAGAATACTACATCTTCAGAAAATACTTCGAATCTCTATGGCAGTAGTTCTCAACTGTTAATGTGCATCAGTATCACCTAGGGTACTTATTCAAATATATACTCCTGGACTCCTACCTTAGGGATTCTGATTCTTTCCAAATCAGTCTGTAGTGGTGCTGAGGAACCTGCATTTTTGACAAGTGGCCCAAGTGCTTCTGATGTAGGTTGTCCAAGGATACTACACTTTGAGAAGCTGCCTTGTAGAAATCACACGTTATAGGAGGATGAAGGGGTTCACCAAAGAATGAAGAGAAGAAGCGTTTTGACAGCACAGCCTAGTTATGTTGTGCCAGTCATTTCTCCATAGCACTACTTCGGTTATATTACTTGTAATCTATCAACAATAATTGTTTTAATTAGCTTTATATATTTCTCAGTCTTCCATGTATAGTCTTCTGTTTCTCACTAGCTCTGATATCGAGCACCTTGTTTGACTTTTTTGGTGTTAGCTTTCTTATCTTTAAAGTGGGGAAGTTGGGGGTGCCTGGGTGGCTCAGTCAGTTAAGTATCTGCCTTCAGCTCAGGTCATGATCTCAGGGTCCTAGGATCGAGCCCCATATCAGACTCCCTGCTCGCAGGGGAGTCTTATTCTCCCTCTCCCTCTGCCCCCTCCTTTGCACCCCCGCAACTCATGCTCTCTCTCTCTCTCTTTCTCAAATAAATAGATAAAATCTTTAAAAAAATAAATAAAGTAGGGAAGTTGACTTGGAAAGACCTTCTAGCTCTGTAAATCAACGGACTCAGTGGTAGGTATGTCTAATTTTTTTTTAAAGATTTTATTTATTTATTTGACAGAGACAGCAAGAGAGGGAATACAAGCAGGGGTTAGTGGGAGAGGGAGAAGCAGGCTTCTGGCAGAGCAGGGAGCCTGATGCAGAGCTCGATCCCAGGACCCTGGGATCATGACCTGAGCCAAAGGCAGACCCCTAACGACTGAGCCACCCAGGCGCCCCATACGTCTAATTTTTATCAGTCCCTGTTTCTCTTCTCTCTTTTCTTTAAGACGATGACCACATTTTCCTTACTGTGTAATCCCACACTGCTTTTAAGTTGTCAGGGAGGCTCTATTCTGTGCTTACATTCTTAGGTGGGCAGTCACAGTGCCATGGTGTATGGGGGTGGGAACTGCTGTGTTTGGGGGAAGGGGGTCTCATGAGCTTTCCTGTGGTTCCAGGTAATTCCTGAAGCAAATTCAGGGAGCCTTCAAATAAGAATTTCTTCAGACTTAAGACACTGTACTCAAATCCACAGCATTTTGTGAAAGGAAGATTTGTAATGTTTTGGAGTTAACTACAGGAGTAAGTTCTTATCCTAGACCAGAAAGTATTAATGGATGTCTTCATCTTGTAATAGTCAAGGCACCTAGGGTTCTATACCAATGATCTATAAATATGTGTTGGCTCCCTGTTTAATTTTTTACCAATTTTTTGGTTTATCAGCCTGTAGAATGGAAAACTCTCACCTTACCATGGGAATTCAAACTCCTCCTTCAAGGCCTCACTCCTTTCCTCCAGAACAGGACTTCTGTTCGCTGGGGAATTCATAAATATTTTTTCACAATGGACATAAATGAGGCCAGTCTTCTGAATATCCTTAAGTCTGATAGGCCCTGGTAAGCCTATTCAAGAGTAATAGAATGATTTAATGGCTTATTCTCGGTGAAAGGTCATACCTATGAATAAATATATGTGTGCACTACTGGAACAGATTTGAAGTGTGAGTTGGAAGGCAGTAGAGCATGGAGGGTGAGAACACATGTGGTGGAGTCAGTGGGCTGTGGTGGTCCCTGCTAGTACCTTCCCTGGCTGTGGTGGTCTTGAGTTCATTGCTTAATCTCTCTAACCTTCAGTTATTTGGCATTAGATACTTTGCATAAATCTCGTGTTCCTTAATAACCCCCAGAATTGTAATGGGGTTAACTCTTAAATACTTTCTGGAATAAGGTATCAGTAAATACAGGAAAACAAATGTGAAATATTTGAAAATATATGTTCCTTTCAACTGGAAATATTAAGTGAACTAGATTTTTCATCTTGTGAATGTCTAAGAAATAATCTCTCTGTGTTACAGCTTTCTTGAATAATGTATAAAGCAAACATTAAAATTCTTTTAATTCCTAACATTGAAAGGAATTGAGAAGATCATACAGTTATACACATTGTTTCAATATAGCCTGTTTCAGTTGCTCTGCAGCTTCAGTTGCTCTGCAGCAATAATTGTTCCAGCATTTGATGATGCTTCTTAGAATAAATAAGATGTATATTCTGTTAGTTGTTGCAACATTCAAAAAAACATACGTTTCTGTGACAGTTAGAAGGAAATTGTGCTGGAGTGCCTGGATGGCTCAGTCAGTTAAGCATCATCAGACTCTTGATCTCAGCCCAGGTCTTTATTACAGGGTCGTGAGTTCAAGCCCCACGTTGGGCTCCATGCTGCGTGTGGAGTCTACTTAAAAAAAAAAAAAAAAAAAGTAATTGTGCTGAGTTCCCTAGGTATAGTCTTAATTAAACAGTATTGTCTTACTTTTATTATTTGCGATTTCCTTGCTGATTTGTTTATCAGTAGTTTAACATAGCAGGGTTTTTTGTTTGTTTGTTTTTAATTTTTTTAAAGATTTTATGTTTAAGTAATCTCTACACCCAGTGTGGGATGCAAAAACTCAAAACCCCGAGATCAAGAGTCACACACTCCACTGACTGAGCCAGCCAGGCACCCCAACATAGGAGTTTTTTAAATAGACGGCTTATTCAAAGTCTGTCTGTCTTTTTCTTTTTTCTTTTCTTTTCTTTTCTTTTCCTTTCATTTCTCTTCTTTTCTTTTTTTATGAAATTTTAACCTGAAGTTCAAACGTCATGTTGGGGAACAAGAAGCAGATACTAATCTGTGGATTGGATACTGTGCTTTTCACCTGGGTGACTACAAGAGAGCTTTGGAGGTTAGTAAAAAAAAAAAAAAGAAAAAGAAAAAATTACAACACAAGGGTTTTGAAAAAGTTATTAAGCTTTATATTATAATTATACATGCTCCTGGTAAAATTCAAATAATACAGGAGGGAACAAAGTAAAAAGAAAAAAATCACCTATTTGCCTTCTGCAATCCCATTTCTTTGTTAACAGAGGCCACCATTGGCTCTTGTTTGATGTATTGCTTCAGAATTCTTCTATATAAGCTCAAGTATATACTAATGAGATTGTTCAAAATATCAATATTAGTATTTCTTAAGGAAATCTTCAGAAGAAAAATAAACCCTTTTGATAAAATTTCCATGATGCTTTTCTCAAAAGAAGTTCATTTTTATTTTGTTTGGTTAATTTTAGACATAAGAAAGGTTATCTTTATATTTGTGCAAGTTGAGTTTTGAAAGTTGTTTTTCTTGGTCATTGTAAACAGCATCTATGTAATGAGCAATCTATAGGAATATGAATCTAGATAAAATTATAGTTGACTTTTGTCAAGCAGTTTTTAAAGCATAAATGAAATTGTTTAAACATTTCCCACATATTCTTACCCCCCAAATGTAACCTAAGGATATTTATAGAACATGCATAACCAAAATGAAATGTCCAAGATCAAGTAATGAGGGGGTATGACGAAAAACAAAAACAACAAAATCAGTGAGGGCAAAGGGAAGATATGAAAAGGACAGAATAGAAGCTGGTAGTATTTGTGAAAGATATAGGGGAGAGAGAGTAGCCCAAAAGTAGTAAGAAAAATAACAAAGGTATCTGGTATATACTGGTAAATAGTAAGAGTATATGGAAAACATAGTTGACAAAGTAAATCTCAGAAGGTGTTCTTGTCAGGAAAAAAGTGCCTTTTTAAAATGTAAAGCCAAATAAATAAAGCCAGAAAACAATTAGAATGAAATGATATTTGTAGTATATTAAGGTTATCAGGTTTTAAGTTAACTGAACCTATGCATTTCTTATAAGGTATCTTTTGTTTTCCTTTTTTTTTTAATTAAAAAAAATTTTTTTAAAGATTTTATTTATGGGGCGCCTGGGTGGCTCAGTCACTTAAGCATCTGCCTTCGGCTCGGGTCATGATCCCAGGGTTCTGGGATCAAGCCCTGCATTAGGCTCCCTGCTCTGTTGGGAGCCTGCTTCTCCCTCTTCCTCTGCCTGCGTGCTCTCTCTCTCTTTCCGTCAAATAAATAAATAAAATCTTTAAAAAAAGTAAAGATTTTATTATTTATCTGAGAGAGGGAGAGATAGTGAGAGGGGGTACGAACGGGGAGGAGAGGGAGTAGCAGGCTCCCTGTGAGCAGGAAGCCCGACCAGGGGCTCAATCCCAAGACCCTGGGATCATGACCCCAGCCGAAGGCAGACACTTAACCGACTGAGCCACCCAGGCGTCCCTCCTTTTTTTTTTTTTTAAGATTTTATTTATTTATTTTTTTTGAGGTGGGGGTGGAGAGGGAGAGGGAAAGAGAATCCAAAGCAGGCTCCACACTGAGCTCAGAGCCAGACACGGGGCTCAAACCATGACCGGGGAGATCATGACCTGAGCCAAAACCAAGAGTTGGAAGCTTAACCGACTGAGCCACCCAGGTGCCCCTTTTGTTTGTCTTTTTAAGTTAGCAAAAATAAAAAATATTTTAGTTATTTTTCATTTCTGCAGTTTGTTAGCCCATATCAATGTTAAAAAGGAGAGAAAAAAACAAGTTTTAAAGTGGAAAACACTGCCTGGGTGGTGCAGTCAGTTAAGCGTCAGACTCAGTTTCAGGTCATCATCTCAGGGGTGTGAGATCGAGCCCAGCGTCCAGCTCCGCACTCAGCATGCAGTCTGCTTGATTCTCTTCTCCTTTTGCCCCTCCCCCCTGGGTGTGCCTCTCTCTCTCTCTCTCTCAAATAAATAAAAAATCTTAAAAAAAAAAGGATTATGTGGACAACAGCCCCTTCCCTCCAGCCCCCCATGGGTAGGATTGAGTTGTAGCTTCAGTATTTAACCTTGCAGGTGCAGAATAGTTGAGGAGCATATAGGATTCCCTAAATGTGAAGTTGCTCAATCTCAGTAAGAAATCCTATTCCATTATAGAGGAATTGCTCATCGACTGCTTTACTGCTGAAATGAGATCCCTGCTTAATATATCTTTCAGGAATATGAAAATGCGACAAAAGAGGAAAATTGCAATCCTGAAGTCTGGGTGAACCTAGCCTGTACCTACTTTTTTCTCGGGATGTATAAACAAGCTGAAGCCGCTGGATTTAAAGGTAAAATGGCCCCTTTTAATATCTAGTATTCATCACTAATGGTATGAGTTATTTTGGAGACTTTAAAACATTTAATTCCTTTTTCTATTGAGGAAAAAACAAGTGCAATTAGAAAACTAAAAAGTAGGGGTGCCTGGCTGGCTTACTCCGTAGAGCACGTGACTCTTGATTTTGGGGTTGTAAGTTTGAGCCCCATGTTGGATGTAGAGATCACTTAAAAACAAAATATTTTTTAAAAAAAGAAAAGAAAACTAGAAAATAGATTTAATCTTCAAAGAACATTGAATCTGAGCAACTTTATATTTAAAGAGAGAGTTAATCTCTGTGCTGCTTCCTTTCCCCACCCCGCCACCCTAGAAGCTACAGCAGACAAGCAGGACGAGAGAAGCAAAAGGAAAAGTTATCTTTTTTAGGCTCCCTCATAGTAGGGGATTGATGTTGTAGGAGCTGGAGGTAGCTGTCTAAGCCCTAGGGATGTGGATTTTATAGCTGCTTTCCCTGCTTCTGAATTTCCCTGTTTTCCCAGGTAATTTCTGCTTGAAGAATCTAGATTTGTTTTCATTTGCTTTACTTGTCCTGACAGCCGTCTAAGAAGAGTTGGACATCAACTTGCAAATAAGAATAGGGCAAAGAGAAACAGGGGAGGAAAGATTAAGAATGAGGGTATGAATCAAATTAAATTCAAAGAAATGTAGAGAAACTGGGCAAGGGAATGTTTGTTAGGAAATTTGTTAGGGAAGAATATATTCCAGGATAGAATTCTTAAGAGAATTAACTGATATATACATATTTAGGAACTATTCCAGCTCAAATTCATGGATCGTGTGGAACTCGAAGCTTTTCTTCATTTGAACCCAAACTGTTTCCTGTGTACTCATGTAGTTTTTCTTAATCTAGTTACATGGGCCTTTAAGTTACTTATTTCTCTCATGTTTCTAGACTTTATCTGTGCCTAGAATAGGGGTAGACACATAGAAAGTGATCAAGGTAGCTATCTATCTTTCCATATAATTTTTGTTCTTTTTAATGCATTGAAGTATGAGTTTTTTCTGTAAAGAGATGTAGGGTTAGGTATCTAGAATTAGGAAAATTCTTCAACAGTGCAAAGGGGATTTGGAACTTGAAAGGTGTTAACCTTTTCGCTTGGTTGACTGTTTCAGTGTGGCAGATTATCATGCTAAAAGATCTGTGGAGTAGAGATTGGGCTAGTATTTAAGAAAATAAGGCCATATAATTGAAGAAAAGGAGAATTTCTGAAGGAATTGACAAAGAATACTTGGAAGAACAGCCGAATGACATGGATTTCTACATGAATTGGGATAAACATAACCTTTTTCCAGTGTTTGGTCAGTGTGTGAACAGCACAGCAATGGGCTGCTACTGGAACTGTATGTGTGGAGTCCTGAGCTGTGGGTCACCATGATAGAAGCAAGTAGAGCAAGTGCTGGAAGAAGAACAGTTTTTTTCTGGTTCCTGATGCTGTTGCTGCTACTGCAGGTAGAGACCAGACTAAAATCTATATACTATAGTAGAGACATATCAGGGTCACACAGATAAGGATTTGGGAAGATTATCTGAGCCTCATGTCATTCTTGCACAGGACTAAGTGCCATAGACAATTAATAAGCAGTTTGAACGTTTTTTTCCAGCTCCAAAAAGCCGACTTCAAAACCGCCTCCTCTTCCACTTGGCTCATAAGGTATTTATGTTCTCATTTCACATTTTTTGTTTTTAAAATATATTTTCTTCCTTCTTGTTAAAAACAATGGTGAAAGATAATGAACTAGAAATGCTTGTTAATGATATTTCTAGAACAAGTAGAATATAAGTATTAATTTTATAGGATTTTCTTCACCTTAGTGTTCTTTACACTACTAATTAAGAGATGTTAGATTTTAGTTCTTCTTAAGTAGTAGTCATTTAAGATTAGTTTGTTTCAACTATCCTATTGTCTCTTGGAAGCAGACTCTAAGACACCTTAACTCCTAGAAATACACACTTTTCAGAATTGCCTTATAGCAATAAGTTTTTTTTTTTTAAGAGAGAGAGCGAGCATGCAAGAGCAGGGGAGGGGGACTCGCAGAGGGAGAGCGAGAGAGAATCTCAAGCAGGCTCCAAGCCGGTTTGGGGCCTGATGCAGGGCTCGATCTCACAACCCTGAGATCATGACCCGAGCTGAAATCAAGAGTTGGATGTTTAACTGACTGAGCCGCTAAGGCACTCCCCTTTTTAAAGTTTTTTTTTATTCATTTAATTAATCTCTACACCCAACCTAGGACTCGAACTCATGACCCTGAGATCAAGAGTCACAGGCTCGGGCGCCTGGGTGGCTCAGTTGGTTAAGCAACTGCCTTCAGCTTGGGTCATGATCCTGGAGTCCCGGGATCGAGTCCCGCATCGGGCTCCCTGCTCAGCAGGGAGTCTGCTTCTCCCTCTGACCTTCCCCCCTCTCATGTGCTCTCTCTCTCTCATTCTCTCTCTCAAATAAATAAATAAAATCTTTAAAAAAAAAGAGTCACAGGCCCTTCCAACTGAGCCAGATGGGCACCCCAAATTTTCTTTTCTTTTTTTTTTTTTAAGTAAGCTCTACACCCAAAGTGGGGCTTGAACTCATGATCCCAAGATCAAGAATCACATTCTCTACCTGCTGAACCAGCCAGGCACTCCTGATTTATAGCAGTAATTTTGATCATCATCATAAAATGGTTTTTTAAAAATAATTTTCCATATTATAGAAGTTACACATTAATTCTATTAAATAAAATATAAGTAAGCAAAAATTGAAAGAGGAAATAACATCTACACCCACTAAAAAGGAGAATTACAGACCAATATCCCTAATGAACATGGATGCAAAAATTCTCAATAAAATACTAGCAAATTGAATTCAACAGTACATTAAAAGAATTATTCATCACAATCAAGTGGGATTTATCCCTGGGCTGCAGGGGTGGTTCAATATTGGTAAATTAATCAATGTGATACACCATATTAATAAAAGAAAGGACAAAAACCATATGATCCTGTCAATAGATGAGGAAAAAGCATTTGACAAAATACAGCATCCCTCAACAAAGTAGAGTTAGATGGAACATACCTCAACATCATAAAGGCCATATACAAAAGACCCACAGCTAATACTGTCCTCAATGGGGGAAAAACTGAGAGCCTTTCCGCTATGGTCAGGAACAAACAAGGATGTCCACTCTCACCATTGCTAATTAACATGGTACTGGAGGTCTTAGCCTCAGCAATCAGACAACAAAAAGAAATAAAAGGCATCCAAATTGGCAAGGAAGAAGTCAAATTTTCACTATTTGCAGATGACATGATACTCTACATAAAAAACCTGAAAGACTCCACCAAACAATTGCTAGAACTGATATATGAATTCAGCAAAATCATAGGATATAAAAATCAATGTCCAGAAATCTGTTGCATTTCTATACACCAATAACAAAGCAGCAGAAAAAGAAATCAAGGAATCGATCCCATTTGCAATTGTACCAAAAACAATAAGATACGTAGGAATAAAGCTGACTAAAGAAATAAAAGATCTGTACTCTGAAAACTATAGAACACTTCTGAAAGAAACTGAAGAGGACACAAAGGAATGGAAAAGCATTCCGTGCTCATGGATTAGAACAAACATTGTTAAAGTGTCTATACCAAAGCAGTCTACACATTTGATGCAACCCCCATCAAAATACCACCAGCATTTTTCACAGAGCTAAAATAATCTTAAAACTTCTGTGGAACCACAAAAGACCCTGAATAGCCAAAGCAATTCTGAAAAAGAAAAACAAAACTGGAGGCATCATGATTCCAGATTTCAAGATATATTACAAAGCTGTAGTGTTCAAGATGGTATGATACTGGCACAAAAACAGACACATAGATCAATGGAACAGAATAGAGAACCCAGAAGTGGATGCACAACTATATGGTCAACTAATCTTCGACAAAGCAAGAAAGAATGTCCAATGGAAAGTCATTCTCTTTTTTTTTTTTTTTTAAAGATTTTATTTATTTATTTGACAGAGAGAGACAGCGAGAGCAGGAACACAAGCAGGGGGAGTGGGAGAGGGAGAAGCAGGCTTCCTGCTGAGCAGGGAGCCCGATGCGGGACTCGATCCCAGGACCCTGGGACCATGACCTGAGCCGAAGGCAGACGCTTAACGACTGAGCCACCCAGGCGCCCCGAAAAGTCATTCTCTTCAAGTGGTGTTGGAAAAACTGGAGAGCATCATGCAGAAGAATGAAACTGGACCACTTACCTACACCATACACAAAAATAAATTCAAAATGGATGAAAGGCCTTAATGTGAGACAGGAAACCATCAAGATCCTAGAGGAGAACATAGGCAGCAACCTTTTTACCTCAGCCATAGCAACTTCTTACTAGACTCCTCTCTTGAGGCAAGGAAAACAAAAGCCAAAGTGAACTATTGGGAATTCATCAAGATAAAAAAACTTCTGCACAGCAAAGGAAACAACACAATTAAAAGACAGCCTACAGAATGGGAGAAAATATTTGCAAACGACGTATCTGAATAAGGGTTAGTATCCAAAGTCTACAAAGAACTTATCAAACTCCACACCCAAAAAACAAATAACCCAATTAAGAAATGGGGAGAAGACATGAATAGACACTTTTCCAAAAAAGATATCCAAATGGCTAACAGACACATGAAAAGATGCTCAACATCACTCATCATCAGAGAAATACAAATCAAAACCTCTCATACCATCTCATACATCAGGATAGCTAAAATTAACACAAGAAACAACAGGTGTTGGTGAGGGTGCAGAGAAAGGGGAACCCTCTTGCACTGTTGGTGGAAATGCAAACTGGTGCAACCACTCTGGAGAACGGCATGTAGGTTCCTTGAAATGTTACAAATAGAACTGCCCTGGGGTGCCTGGATGGCTCAGTCAGTTAAGCGTCAGAGTTTGGCTCAGATTATGATCTCAGGGTCCTGGGAAAGAGCCCCGAGTCAGGCTCCTTGCTCAGTGGGGAGTCTGCTTCTCCCCCTCTCACTGCCCCTCCCCCCACTCATACTCTCTCTCTCTCTCTCTCTCAAATAAATAAAATCTTTAAAAAAATAAAAATAGAACTACCCTATGATCCAGCAATTGCACTACTAGATATTTACCCAAAGGATACAAAAATACAGATTCAAAGGTATACATGCACCCCAGTGTTTATAGCAGCATTATTAAGAATAGCCAAACTATGGAGAGAGCACAAATGTCCATTGACTGAGGAATGGATAAAGAAAATGTGGCATATATATATATATGAAATGGGCTATAATTCAGCCATAAAAAAGAATGAAATCTTGCCATTTGCAATGACATGGTTGGAGCTAGAGTGTATTATGCTGAGTGAAATAAGTCAGTCAGAGAAAGACAAATACCATATGATCTCACTCATATGTGGAATTTAAGAAAGAAAACAGATGAACATATGGGAAGGGGGAAGAGAAAAAAAAAGGGGAGAGGAAAATAAGCCATAAGAAACTCTTAACCATAGTGAACAAATGGAGGGTTGATGGAGGGAGGTGGATGGGGGATGGGCATTAAAGGGGGCACTTGTTATGATGAGCACCTGGTGTTGTATATAAGTGATGGATCACTGAATTCTACTTCAGAAACCAATATTGCACTGTATGTTAACTACCTAAAATTTAAATTAAAAAAATAATAAAGGTAACTTATCTTATTGGTATCTTATATCTCCTTTTAAGATAATTATTTTTAAGGGGTGCCTGGGTAGCTCCATTGATTAAGCATCTGCCTTCAGCTCAGGTCATGATCACGGGGTCCTGGGATCAAGCCCCATATCGGGCTCCTGTTCAGCAGGGAGTCTGCTTCTCCCTCTGCCCCTCCCCCTGCTCATGCACTCTCTCTCTCTCTCTCCCCCTCTCAAATAAAGCTAATTATTTTTATACACATATTTACATTTTGTTCATTTTTTGTTTTGTAGAATGAGACTCATGCTGAATATATATTTTTGTATTCTGCTTTTTTTTTTTTTAACTTATCTTTATATAATGAGTGTATCCCTGAGTCACTAGTCTTTAAGACTGTGACTTTTTAAAAATGGTTTTTGGGTGCCTGGGTGGCTCAGTTGGTTAGGTGGCTGCCTTCAGCTCAGGTCATGATCCTGGAGTCCCGGGATCGAGTCCCACATCGGGCTCCCTGCTCAGTGGGGAGTCTGCTTCTCCCTCTGACCCTCTTCCCTCTCGTGCTCTCTATCTCTCATTCTCTCTTTCAAATAAATAAATAAAATCTTTAAAAAAATAAAAGTAAAAATGGTTTTTAGGGGCGCCTGGGTGGCTCAGTTGGTTAAGCGACTGCCTTCGGCTCAGGTCATGATCCTAGGGTCCTGGGATCGAGCCCCACATTGGGCTCCCTGCTCCGCGGGAAGCCTGCTTCTCCCTCTCCCACTCCCCCTGCTTGTGTTCCTGCTCTCGCTGTGTCTGTCTCTGTCAAATAAATAAAAAAAAAAACTTAAAAAATAAAAAAGCTTTTAATTGATATTGCTAAATTATTTTACAGAAAGTTTATCAAATCATCCATAGACAGTATATAAAAAAAATTATTGTTAATGCATTTAAAAATTTCATAGTATAATTGTCCATCTCTATTTAGTCCTTTCAGTTTTTGCATTACATGTTTTTCAGACTCTATCATTAAGTATATACAAATATAGAATTGTTCCATCCATTTAGTGGATTGCAATATCATTGTGAAATGTGTGTCTTTATCTCTAAAAATTTCTCTCCACATAAAGTCTACTTTGTCATATTTGTATAGCTACACCACTCTCTTTTGTTTAGTGTTTGTCTATTATATCTCTTTGTATACTTTTTTTTTTTTAAAGATTTTATTTATTTATTTGACAGAGACACAGCGAGAGCAGGAACACAAGCAGGGGGAGTGGGAGAGGGAGAAGCAGGCTTCCCGTGGAGCAAGGAGCCGGATGCGGGGCTCGATCCCAGGACTCTGGGATCATGACCTGAGCCGAAGGCAGACACTTAACGACTGAGCCACCCAGGCGCCCTATATACTTTTTTAAACATTTTTTAAGATGAGTCACCAAGGTGCCCCTCTCTTTACATACTTTTAAACTTTCTACCTTACTGTGTCTTTATATTTTTAAAATGTCTCTCTAATAAACAGCATATAAGAATGATAAAAATAGGGGAAAAAATAGAAAGGAAGGAGGAGGAGGAGGGGTCAAGTAATTAACATTAGCTGTGACTCAGAGTCTTTCCATTGTCAAGGCTCTGCCTCCAGAGGCTGTTTTCATTCTTTCTCTGAAGGAGAGACAGGGGAGAAGACAAGGAACTGAAGGGAAATAGAGAGAACTGAGAGAAAAAAATGGCTGAAGGAGGAGTTAAAGTCTCTGTACCACAGGTGTTGATTAACTGCACTCTAACATGAATCTTTCCATGTCTTTTTTCCCTCTGACAATTTCAGTTTAATGATGAGAAGAAGTTGATGAACTTTCATCAGAATCTTCAGGATATCACAGAAGATCAACTCAGTTTGGCCTCAATCCACTATATGCGATCTCACTACCAAGAAGCTATTGATATTTATAAGCGAATACTCCTAGATAACAGGTCTGTGTCCTTTCATGTCTGCTCCAAGTCTCATTTTGTTAGCTTTTTTCTGTAACTGGTTTGGCTGAGGACCTAGTGTCCTTTCGATCTATTATCACCATGTGTTCAAATCTGTTTAGCTAATAATGTGGTCAGATTAAGAACTTCTAATTCTCCAGATCAGGATTTCTCCATGTTTATTTCACTATCACCCTTCCAAGGAGCCTTTTTGGTCTCCCTCCTCCCCCATCACCTTCTCATAAAAGTTTGAAACCACAGATATACTGTATGTCCATTTATATACTGAACATATATCTATGCCTTATACTTAAAATGAGTACGATTTTCCACTTCTTCATAAAGATTTTTACCCCTTTGGGGATGATATGGCCCCTGTTGAAAATGCATGGTCTAAATGTATCATTTCAGCATTGTAATAGGTTGTAGGGAACTTGCTGACAAAATTAGAAATAAACCATTCTGAAGAACTAGCATTCCCACTTTATCACTGACCACTGGGTATCTCTCCCACTTCCCAAAAATATCTCATCCACCTGCCTTCTCCCCTTTTGCTTACCTGTACCCAACCCATTCCCCTTCTCAGTCATCAAGTCTGCCTGCTTTGTGTGTCCATCCTTTGTCTGATGTATGCTTATTTACGGTTTAGGCCAGTTACAGCATACATTAGTTTAGTCTTTTTAACATGAACTGGTAGGAGTTGAATGCTTCCCTTTCTCCTTTAGTTGTCATCTCTCATTCTACTTAAATCAAAACATCCAAATATTACAATACAAAAGAAAAATATTGCACTGATGATATCTTGCCTTCTTTCTTCAAAAGGCAAATTCGTGTCCTCCTCGGCTGGCTGTCCATTTGAGCCATTAAAAAAGTCTTTGTAGTTCGACAACCTTACTATGAAGTAGACTTAAACTGTTAACCCTTAATTCTTTCATCTAATAGGGAATACCTTGCCCTCAATGTATATGTGGCCCTATGTTACTACAAGTTGGATTACTATGATGTGTCTCAAGAAGTTCTGGCAGTTTACCTTCAGCAAATTCCTGATAGCACCATCGCACTCAATCTTAAGGCCTGTAATCATTTTCGCCTTTACAACGGCAAAGCAGCTGAGGTAGTGATGGAAATGTGTTTTTAATTTACTTAATTCCACTTTGAATAACCCTATACTTTTTGGGTTATTCATAAGACTCTATTATTTGTAACTCCTGGTTAATATCCCTTTGTTATCGCCAGGGTGATTCTATGAGAACCAACTATATATAAATACTTATATTGATTAGATATTCTAAAAAAATGTCGATTTCTGAGTTCTGTGTGTCTAATGTATTGTAGATATCTTTACCTAGATGCTTTACATTACCTTAAATATGTCAAAACTAAACAGTTCTGCTTCTTCCTCTAAAATAGGTTTGTGACTCTGTGGTTCATTGTCACCAGCATGTAAATCACATCACAAGCCTAGGATTTCCATCAGTCTTTTTCTTCACCGCCCCATCTAATCATCTACCAGTTCCTTTCAGTTCTGCATCCTAGATATCTCTTTGATCTATCCTTTCTTCTCCTCTACGATTGCTCTAGTCTGAGCACTCCTCATCTTTTATTTTGGTTCTTTAAATAATTTCCCTGCCTCTGGCCTTGTCCTCTCCTGTCTAGCCACTGACATTGTTCCACACACCATGCTCTCCTACTCTCATAGCTTTTCTCATTTCCTGGAATGCCTTATTCTGCTTGGTACAATTCACCGTCTTTTTCAGGATTATCCCAAGAGGCAATAGTGATAAACATTTTATAAATACTTAGAAATTAGCTAACTTCTAGGCACTGTGCAGAACGCTTTGTATCTATTAGTTAGTTCCCCTGACAATCCTGTGGAGAAATTCTGCTTTAGCTTTCTTTATGTAGGAAACTGAGAGTGCATAGTAGACCATACATGGGACCTCCTTTTATTTAACACTATACACACACACATATATACACATATACAGAGAGAGAGAGAGAGAAAAGAGGGCATGTTCTATACTATATTTATTTACAGATACTTATTTATTTATGTAATAAACAGGAGATTTTTTTTTTAAAGATCTCATTTTTTTAAGTAATCTCTACACCCAACATGGGGCTCGATCTTACAACCCCAAGATCAAGAGTCACACACTCCACCAACCAGCCACCCCTATACAGGTCATTTCTAGATTAACAGGGTGAGGGGGGCCATGGAAATTACTTCCTCAGCCATTATTTTAGTTGATGCCAGAAGCCATCAAAATTCAATGTAAAATTTGTGCATGTGTCAAAATTTTAAAATCCCACCCCTGCCCAAAAAACAGTTCCAGCTGGGATCGTGCCACTGGAGGAGGAGGGAAAGGAACTGAAACCAGCAAACCAACTCTATCAAAGCAAAATTCACTGTGTAAATGTAATAGCAAGGGACATTATTACATAGCTGACAGCAGACTCAGCTCCTGAGTGAAACAGTGTTTAGTTATCGTGGGAGAGGGGTGGAGTGGAAAGCATATGTCCTTCGCATAGGCCCAGATTCACTTTTTGTGGCTTATGTCGATAAAAGTGGTCTGTTCTGGCAATACAAATGCCCACCACTTCAACTGCTTAGTATGCAATCAAGCAGTCCATTTCTTCCTTTCTTTCTTTTTTTTTTTTAAGATTTTATTTATTTATTTGACACAGACACAGCGAGAGAGGGAACACAAGCAGGGGCAGTGGGAGAGGGAGAAGCAGACTCCCCGCAGAGCAGGGAGCCCGATGCGGGGCTCGATCCCAAGACCCTGGGATCATGACCTGAGCCGAAGGCAGACGCTTAACAACTGAGCCACCCAGGCGCCCTCGAGCAGTCCATTTCTATGTTATGTACAATACGTTCTTGGGTATACTCACTTCAACTACAGAGTCCCCGGAGTCTGCCTAATTGGCTGGTTTCCAGCATCAGCAGTTTAATAGTAAACTGGTTCGCAATTTGATCTCTTTAGAGTTTATGGCCTTTGGTAAGAGCAAATAAAAGAAATATATTCTTGCCTTTCTACCTTGAGTTAATCTTGGGGATTTGCCAATATTTTCCAGTCTATTAAATGTTTACATTTTGTCTGCACGTGTTCTTTCCATAGTCTGGTATGTGTAGCGTGGTTAACCAGTATTCTGTAGGTCTAGCATGATGTGAGTCAGGGCACCAGACTATATTTCCTATCCCCCAATAGACATGCTTTTTCACTTGAAATTGTGTCTGTGCCGTTTACATATTAATTTTATAATGTATTCCAGCAGGAGATGACTATGTCAAATGTACCCTGACAAGCTTTTTCGGGGAGGGGGTTAGCAGTAGAATATAGTTTGTGTTTGCCAATAATTTTATTAAACCACTTAAAAATCAGGCATTCCTCTAGTAATTTGTATAATACGTCCAATATTCTATGGTTCATTCTCTCCACAAACACCAATAACATTCTGCCCTTCTGTAGTAAGCATGATATAATCTGTACTGATTCACTTAATTCCTGATGTACTTTAAATAACTTGCCCAAAGTTTTATGACTAACAAGTGACAAATTCAGGTCTCAAACCCTTGTCTATGTGACTCTAAAGCCCATAGACCTAACTGCAAATTTAGGGGTACTTTCTTCTTTTCTCTTATATGTGATTATAGGTAGATAGATATAGATATATTTGTAGATATATATAGGTGTATATGTAGATACAGATATAAAATATCATGCATGCTATTTGATAGTTGTCTAGTTATCTTTCATCTAGACAAGCTTATTGAGGATTGAAACTGTGTCTTTTGACATGTGTGTCCTGGTACCTGGCACAACGCACACACAAAGTTGGTGTCAATTAAGTATTGGTTGAATGAGAATACTAAGACTTCACACTTAGTATGACTAAGAAATTAAGGAAGACTCGTGTTTAAAGAAGGAGGAGGGGCGCCTGGGTGGCTCAGTCATTAAGCGTCTGCGTTCAGCTCAGGTCATGATCCCAGGGTCCTGGGATCAAGCCCCGCATTGGGCTCCCTGCTCCGCGGGGAGCCTGCTTCTCCCTCTCCCACTCCCCCCTGATTGTGTTCCCTCTCTCGCTGTGTCTCTCTTTGTCAAATAAATAAATAAAATCTTTAAAAAAAAATAAAGAAGGAGGAGGTTCAAAAGAGGTCAATAAAAATGAAGATTGTGAAAAAGCCATTGGGTTTCATAGGATTTCCTACAATGTGCTACTCCGATTAGGATATCATTACTATTGGGGTTTGAAACTAGATGACAAGGAGATAAGGAATGGGTGAGTAATTGCTTGGATTGGGATTTGTCATGAAGCCTATGGCAAAGGGATGACAAGTAGGTCATGGAGCGGTAGAAGCAGTGACAATAAGAGGCTGCTGAAAGGAAGGGGAATGCTAGTTTCAGAGGACAACTAGTTAAAAGAACTTTTTCCCCCAAACTGGGAAGGCCTCCAGAGCAGTGATTAAGAGCAGGAGCTTTAAAATAAGATAGACCCCAAATTCCACTTCTGGGTGGTAGGTGTGTGGCTTTCAGTGAACTACCTAACCTCCTTAAGCATCACCTGCAAAATAAGGAAAGTAATAGACTGACTTATTATGGGTCTCTGTAAAGATTAAATGATATGACGTATGTAAAGTATCTAACTTGATATACATAGTAAACTCTCAGTAAATATTAACAATTATCACATATTTTGGAGGCAGAAAGATTGTCAAAGCTATCTATCTTTTCCTTTATGTTTGGTGCTTTCTATATCTTGTTGAAGATGATTTCCTGGCCCAAGATCATATTCTCTGGTATTATCTTCCTTTTTTAAAAAAAATTATTTTTTAAAAACATGTAATCTCTACCCCGGGTGTGGTACTTGAACTCATGATCAAGAGTCACATGCTCTTCTGACTGAGCCAACCAGGCACCCTTGGTATTATCTTCTAAAAGCCTTCTTGTTTTGGGGCGCCTGGGTGGCTCAGTTGGTTAAGCGACTGCCTTCGGCTCAGGTCATGATCCCGGGGTCCTGGGATCGAGCCCCGCATCGGGCTCCCT